AAAAAAAAATTAGCTGGGAGAGTGGCACATACCTGTGGCCAGGCAGTGGTGAGCTGTGAGCATGCATGCCACTGCACTCCAGACTGGGCAACAGAGTGAAGAGAGACTCTGATTCAAAAAATAAAAATAAAAAAAGATAGAAAAAAGAAAATGCTTGGCCACTACCATCAAAAATACTGAAAATGTGACTTAGGATAGTGGAAATGGATAATCTACGAAGGCACCTACCAGCTTTAAGTTTCTGAATGTCTATACTTTGGGGGTAGAAATACACTTTAGATATATTTGATACTTTCTCCCTATATTTTCCACTTCCTCTTCTATTCCACTCCTTTCTCCAATCCAGGCAGATGTTATGTCCTGGAAACGTCTTTTTTTTTTGAGTAGGAGTCTCGCTCTGTTGCCCAGAGGGGAGTGCAGTGGCATGCTCACAGTCATTGCAACCTCAACCTGCTGGTTCAGGTGATCTTTCCACCTCTGCCTTCCAAGCAGCTGAAACTTCAGGTGACTGCCACCATGACTGGCTAATTTTTTGATTTATTATAGAGACGAGGTCTCGCCAAGTTGCCCAGGCTGGTCTCGAACTCCTGGACTCAGGCAGTCCTCTTGCCTCTGCCTCCCAAAATGCTGGGATTACAGGAGTGAGCCACTGCACCCAGCTGTTTTTGTGTTTTTATTTTTAGAGATGAATGTCTTGCTATGCTTCCCAGGCTGGTCTCCTGGCTTCAAGTGATCCTCCCGGCTGGGCCTCCTAAAGTGCTGCAACTACAGGCATGAGCCACCATGCCCAACTGAGTCTAATTTTTGATTAAGCTTAAGAAGAAGATTGTGTATATTTGAGACAAATCTGTACAAGTAGAAGAGAAAGCAATGACATCACCTCTCCCATGCCCCTGTGACCTTGGCACCAGGCAAAATACAAACCCCTAACTGTAGGAAATTTAGGGCTGGGATTGATTTAAGACTAATATTCTGCTATCCCAGCAGAAGGAGGATTTTATATAGAAATCAAGCTGACTTTTTGGAAATAAACTTATATTTCTTAACACCCAAATGTGTGAACAGAGAAGTATTTTAGGCTCAGAAGGTGCGGGGTATGTCCTCTAAGCAGTATTACCAGTGGTTGCAAATCTGAAGTTTTTGGTGCTCTGCTGCCTCCTTGTGGAATAACTGGAAACAACAAGGGCAGATCTGGTTTCCCGCAGGAGCGTGACATTGGACTTGGGAGAAACAGAACTGGTGGAGGTGTGAAGGCTGGTGGAACTTACCACCGTCAGGAACTGTGGCTACGCCCAGTGGGGTTGGGGTCCCAGAAGAGGAGCCAAGAACTCTTTCAAACCGTCAATGACTCCAAGAAGCTCTTTCTTTTCCACGATCTTTATTTTTCCTCAAGACACCTGAATCCAGTAAGCGAGTGAGCATCTAAACACTGCCAGTCATGCACTTCTGTAACTGTTCTGGCGCGAGCAGCAGCTGTGGGCACACCGCCAGCCCCCACATGCCTCCTCTGCTTGCACTTGGAGTGACAAGTCGTGGGGTTCTCCCTCTGGTTCTGCGTTTTTCACAGTCTCTTCGCTGTCTGTCTGTATGCTATGGGTCCACACAACTCTACACAATTGCACTCATGCTAGGGGCGTCCCTGACTCCCTGTGCTGGTGCAGGACAGAGACGGTCCTTTCATTGTGGTGAGTGAGAGAGGGAAACACTTGGGCACAAAGGGGAAGGGACTGCAAATCCTTGGGAGCACATGGCTGGATTCCAGAGGTCCAAATCCCAGAATCCTCTTCCATCTACAGCCTCACTGCCTCCTTCCCTTGTCAACCCCTCCTGGGTGCCCGCCCCCTACCCAGCCACGCTCCCCTTGCTCTCCCACAGCGAGCCACGGAGACCTGGAGCTTGGCCTCTTCTGCCCCTGGAGAGGATAATGGGTTATCTGGGCCTCCCACTACCTGCCGCCCCGGGGCCTCCTCTCTCCAGCTGGGAGCCGGAGACCCACCCACAGGCCTGGCCTGACATCTCCTCCCCTCCCTCATGCCTCTAGACCCTGCCGAAGCCTGCGGTCCAGGGCCAGGAGCTGCCTCAGGAAGCCCCGGTTGGGGATGATGCCTCGGTGGTCCTTGACTTTCTTGATGGCCTCCACGAGGGTGAGGTGGTGGTACAGCATGAGGTAGGCCAGCACCAGGGTGGCGGATCGGCTCACCCCCACAGCACAATGCACGAGGATTTTCCCTGGGAGAGAAACAGAGAGAGACAGCTGTGAGACTGCTTGGGGTGGCTTGGAGGAGGCTGGAGAGAGGGTGACATGGACGGGATGAGGAAGGCAGGCAAGGCAAGGGGCATGAAGACAGGAACGCAGTTAGAAATGCAGGTACCAGCCGGGCTCGGTGGCTCAGCCTGTAATCCCGCGCCTTTGGGAGGCTGAGGTGA